CACCATACTACTGGATGAAAAATTCATCAATTTGACATACAAAGGTAAAAGAAAAGTTAAACTAAAGAAAAAAATATGAAAAACAAAATGTTTGTGCATCCTCTTTCTTTAATATGATTCATAGGTATTTTAGAAGTGTTTCTTTAGGATTTAAGAAAGAGAGAAAAAGAGGTTACCTACCTGTAACCATAGTTCTTTGAGTGGTCCTCTGTGAATTCACACATATGAGTCTTGTCTGTGCCTGCACTGACGTTCTTGGAAGATTCTAGCGCTAAAAGTAACAATTTTATGATGTGATTCCCCCACAAGGTACATGCTCCTCCCACCCACCAGTCCTCTCAGTTTCCAAAATTTATCCGCTGGGCAAGGAATTATGCAATAATTAAATTAAAATACCCGTGATGGACAGAGGGGAGGATGGGCGGGTACTGTGAATTCCCAGAAGGCCACTCGAAGAACTATGGTTACAGGTAGGTAACCTCTTTTTCTTCTTTGTGGCCTCTGTGAATGCAAACATATGGGTGACTAGCAAGTTTCACTTATTGGTAGGTGGGATGTCACAGTAGGAGAGATGTCAGCACAGTTCTGCTGAATGAAGCATCACGACACGCTCTGACATCTAGTCGATAGTGCTTCACAACTTGGGGCTGTAGGCAGTCCAAAGGGGAGGGAACAAAATTGGTACACAGGGTTGTTGAAGCGGAACCTGAGGTATTTTTGATGGGAAGGACGTATTGAGATATGGAAGTAGGTGTCCCGTAAGTCAATTATGATAAACCAGTCTCCCTGTGAAAGCAAGGGGATAATAGTGTCCAGTGTAAGCATTCAGAATTTATGGGGTTGAATGAAATTATTAAGATGTCTCAAATCGAGAACAGAACGGAGTCCTCTGTCCTTCTTTGGGACCGTGAAGTATTTTGAATAGAAGCCACAGTAGCAATGAATGGATGAGATTGGAATAATAGCATGTTTGGATAGGAGAGTAGAGACTTCCTCTTGGAGAGTGGAAGAGAATGGTGTAGAGTGGATAAACCCCAAGGGAGGCAGATGGAGACCTTTGGGAAGAGTGGGCGGCATATAAACAAACAAACAAACAAACAAACAAAAATAAATAAAATAGTCAAATTCAATCATGTAACCATGGGCAATGATGGAAAGAACCCATTTATCATTTGTAATAGTATGCCAGTGATGGAGAAAAGGTGCCAATCTAGTATGAAAGGGGGCTTGAAAGAACGGAAGGGGGCAAAAATTTTGAGATGTTTCATTAATATGGCTTATCCTTCCTTTGGCCCTTGCGAAAGGGTTGACATTGGCATGGCTGGCCCGGGGAACGAAAGGATGGCATCAGCGGTTGTGGATTTGTGGGAGACCTCTCCAATTGCTGAGAACGATATTGTCTGAATGGATGGAATTGCTGGAACTGATATTGTGGGTAAGGCCGTGGGTATGACTGGTTGGTTCGGTATTGAGATCGTTGAAATCCAGAGGATGGCTGTTATGCGTAAGATTTTCCCGTCTTATGTATCTTGTGGATGTTTTCCATGGTCTCGTCAGTTTTGAGATTGAAAAGGCCCGTACCGTCAAAACGGAGCTCTTCGATTCATGTCTTAGTTTCATCCGACATCGTGGAAGAATGTAGCCAGGCATGGAGTCGAATGGAGATAGAAGAGACTAAAACCTAGACATGCTTCTGCTGCATGTCTAGCCACAATTCTCTGGTGCTTAGCAAAGGCTATAGTTTCAGAATGAGTGTTGAGTAAGCTGGTTTTTATAGATTCTGGTGCTGATTCAAGAAGGGGTAGAACCTTGTTTTAGAGGTAGCGCTGATATGCCCCCATTGCAGCTTGATAATTAATATTTCTCAATAAGAATGATTGCAGAGAATAGATCCTTCTGCCCAGGACGTCTATTTTCCTTCCCTCTTTATTCATAGGAGTAACTTTGGATCTATTGTGTCCACGAGATTGGCTGGACTCCACTATGATTGAATTAGGTAGGGGATGCTTGTTGAGAAATTCGATGTTGGCACCATGAGTCTTGTAAAGGTTGTCAGTCCTTTGCAAAATTTGCATTGTGGACGGAGGTTTATCCCAGGTTTCTTTGATGAGTTTCAGCACAAATTTATTGAAAGTCAAGTTGAGTGGGGAGGCATCTCTCTTGGTTGATGTCATCAAATATCAGGTCCGCCTCTGGTGACGGTGGTTCTTCAGTATTTAGTTGTAGTGCTCTAGCCAGTCTGGATATAACCTGGGAGTATGAAGAGAAATCCTCTGAGGGGGAGGACGGATGATTATCTTTCATGTCATCAGGAGGGGTAGGGAGGTCCAGAGATGAATGGGAAGGAAACTCGGAGTGATCCTCCTCAGATGAGGAGGATGAGTTCGGCGATGATGGATAGCCTGGGTCGGGAAAGGGAGGAAGAGGGTCATGGCACCGAGGCTCGTGAGTTTCTGCAGGCTCCAAAAGGTTTTGAGTAATGTGTAATGATTGAGACAGGATTGAGTGGTCGTGCTTCTTTGATCTCGATGTCGACTTAGATCGTTTAGAGGGTTGATTTGGGATCAATGTCAAAGCAGGCGGTGAGGATTTTCGAGATCAACGTTGAGTCTTTGATGAAGATGGTTGAGAGTGATCTGGCGTACAACGAGCCCATTTCTGTTGTTCGGAATGGTACCATTCGAAGTGACACTGCCATGAGGATGGGCCAAAGAACTAGTATGGCATCATGAGGAATTGGAAGTAATCTCCGTAAGGTGTCATGGGTTGTGGTGGCGTGAGATGCCTCCACTTTTCCGTACGCTTTCTAGGGGAGGAAGAAGACATGTCAGGATCGGATGCTGAACTTTCAACTGGCCGCCCTGATGCAGGGTTAGAGTGGGTCAAGGCTGGGCTGGACGGAGGCGCAGCCACAAAGAGGCCAATGTTCGGTGTCAAGTTCGATGCCATGGTAAAGGCTGTAAGTTGTTGAGCCTCATCTCTGTCAGAATTAAAGTTGTGGGCCTCTCTCGAAGACTCCTCTAAGATGGGTGAGGGTAGAGAGGGCTGTGGAGGGTCAATCTGAGAAGATCTGTCTCACTTAGACTTTTTTTAGGGTTGACTTAAGCTTCTTCTTCTCAGTGAGATTGTGCACCCGGGAAGATGACTTAGCAGTACAGGACGATTTCTGTTTAACAGCAGGTTTGGTTTTGTCTGAAGGCTCCTTAGGAGGTAAAACGGACACCCCTGATTCAGAAGCGGCTGTCCTGAAGCAAGCCTTTTGCCTGAAGAACTGGGGGATCTTACCGCCTCCGTAGATGGTGTAGGAGGATTCATCGCCGTTTGCCAGAGATAAGATCTCAGCCTCTGCAGTCTTTGCTTCAATGCCAGCCTCATTAGATTTTTGCAGGCGCTGCAAGAATGGGTTGGGTGATTTTCGCCCAAACAGAAGAGGCACTTATCGTGGCCGTCTGAAAGAGCGATTCTGTTTGCACAAGTAATGCAGTGTTTGAAGGGTGCCGGAGAGGCCATAAGAAAGAAGAGTAGAGTAAGGAGATGCCAATTGGGGGGGGGGAATAAAAAAGGCGGGAAGGTGAAAACGCAGCAAAATGAAGGAGGCTAACTGATTAGTAATTAACAAATAAGAAAAGATTAATTAAGAGAAGAAATATTCTCAAAAAGGAGTTTAAGGCTAGCTCAGTCTTTCCAGAGAACTGTACAGCTCAGCGGAAAAAAGGAACTGAGAGGAGCGGTGGGCGGGAGAAGCATGTACCTCATGGGGGAATCACAGCATAAAATTGTTACTTTTAGCTCTAGAATCTTCCAAGAACGTCAGTGCAGGCGCAGACAAGACTCCTATGTGTGCATTCACAGAGGCCATGAAGAAGAAGAAAAATTCGAAGTCTATCTTGTGTGTTTTTCTTTCATGTAAACATGACATCATGAACACACACCATCAAATGGCTACAATCTTCTTTGTCTAGCAAGTGAATCAACTTTGTGTCCAGGGCTAATAGCTATAACCTCATAGACCATGAGCCATCCATCAAAATGCTTCTGTTATGGTAATATCTACCAATAGCTACTGTGTTTTCCTGAAAATAAGACAGGGTCTCATATGAATTTTTGCTCCAAAAATATACTATGGCTTATTTTCAGGGAATGTTTTAATTTTTTTCATATATAACAATCCACATTTATTTATGTTCAGTCATGTCATCGTCTTCTGGTTGCTGAACAATGCTGTACAATGGTGAAGGGTGGGGTTTCACTTAACTAGGGCTTATTTTTGAGGTAGGACTTATATTATGAGCATCCTGAAAAATCATACTAGGGCTTATTTTCAGGTTAGGTCTTATTTTCAGGGAAACTGTATCATTTTATTACTTTCATCATACTTTGCATACACTGAACATTAAAGTGGAACACTTCCTTATTAACATAAGGGAAAGGGAAAGGTAAAGGTTCCCCTTGACAATTTTTTTTGTCCAGTCGTGTTCGACTCTAGGGGGCAGTGCTCATCCCCATTTCCAAGCCATAGAGCCAGCGTTTTGTCGGAAGACAATCTTCCATGGTCACGTGGCCAATGCGACTTAGACACAGAATGCTGTTACCTTCCCACCGAGGTGGTCCCTATTTATCTACTTGCATTTGCATGCTTTCGAACTGCTAGGTTGGCGGGAGCTGGGACAAGCGACGGGCGTTCACTCCGTCGCATGGATTCGATCTTACGACTGCTTGGTCTTCTGACCCTGCAGCACAGGCTTCTGCGGTTTAGCCCGCAGCGCCACCACGTAAGACTAATAGTTACTTTATTGTTATGCACTATCAAGTAACTTTTGATTTAATGTGACTCCATTGCCACCCCCTAGTGAGTGTACACACCTGAATCAGAATTTGAATGCAGGTCTCCTGAGTTCTGGTCTGACACTCTATCCACTAAGCGATACTTGCTTGCACACATCACACTGACTCTTGTGCTCTTTTGCAAGAATGTATTTGAATTGAGAGATAAGCATTACCTTTGCTAATTCATCAATGAAGCACATATGTGTAACAGGATCTCTTTTTTTGGACAAGACTTTCTGCAGATGTTGCACCTGAAAAGGAAAAATGTTGGGTTAGGTCTGACTTGTTTGTACATTTCAAAATGGTCTCCACAAGATGCCAAGGACACTGAGATGACCAAGTACCTGTCCACAAGCTGCACAGATTTGATCCATCAATTTTTCCATATTAGTCCATAAAGCTGCTCTGAAGGCTGCAGTATTCCCAGGTGTTGGCATTGCTGCTCGCCCAGGACCACCTAAACATGTTGTAACAATAAACAACACAATAGTTTTAGACACACCACAAATGTGATAGCAACATTCATAAGTGTTAATGACTGAGATTTAAAATTTAAACTATTGTAATAGCTCTATACAGTCAGCAAAAAACAAGACCTGGAGCTGATTATGGCTCTGATCATCAGCTTCTTATAGCAAAACTCAAGCTTAAACTGAAGAAAGTAGGAAAAACCACTGGGCTAGTCAGGTATAACTGAAATCAAATCCCTTATGAATACATACTGGAAGTGAAGAACAGATTTAAGGAACTAGATTTGGTGGTCGGAGTACCTGAAGAACTATGGATGGAGACCCGTACGTAACATTATACAGGAAGCAGCAACAAAAACCATCCCAAAGAAAAGGAAATGCAAGAAAGCAAAGTGGCTGTCCAACGAGGCCTTACAAATAGCAGAGAAGAGAAGGGAAACAAAATGCAAGGGAGATAGGGAAAGTTACAGAAAATTGAATGCAGACTTCCAATGAATAGCAAGGAGAGACAAGAAGGCCTTCTTAAATGAACAATGCAAAGATATAGAGGAAAATAATAGAAAAGGAAAAACCAGAGATCTGTTCAGGAAAATTGGATATATTAAAGGAACATTTTGTGCAAAGATGAACATGATAAAGGACAAAAATGGGAGGGACCTAACAGAAGCAGAAGACATCAAGAAGAGGTGGCAAGAATACACAGAAGAATTGTACCAGAAAGATTTGGCTTTCACGGGCAACCCAGATAGTGTGGTTGCGGACCTTGAGCCAGACATCCTGGAGAGTGAAGTCAAGTGGGCCTTAGAAAGCATTGCTAACAACAAGGCCAGTGGAGGTGATGGCATTCCAGTTGAACTATTTAAAATCTTAAAAGATGGCGCTATTAAGGTGCTACACTCAATATGCCAGCAAGTTTGGAAAACTCAGCAGTAGCCAGAGGACTGGAAAAGATCAGTCTACATCCCAATCCCAAAGAAGGGCAGTGCCAAAGAATGCTCCAACTACTGTACAATTTCACTAATTTCATACGCCAGAAAAGTTATGCTCAAATTCCTCCAAGGTAGGCTTCAGCAGTATGTGGACCGAGAACTCACAGAAGTACAAGCTGGATTTCGAAGGGGCAGAGGAACCAGAGACCAAATTGCTAACATGTGCTGGATTATGGAGAAAGCCAGAAAGTTCCAGAGAAACATCTACTTCTGCTTCATTGACTATGCAAAAGCCTTTGACTGTGTGGACCACAGCAAACTATGGCAAGTCCTTAAAGAAATGGGAGAGCCTGACCACCTTATCTATCTCCTGAGAAATCTATATGTGGAACTAGCACTAGCACTTTCTAAAATCTCTTTAGCTAGAAAATGAGACTTAACTCTGAGGAAAAACTGCTCTGTTAGTTACAATGCTACACCAGCTGTTGACATTATTTGAAATCCTGGATAGAAAGAGACCATCATGCTGGAAATATTAAGTACAATCCATTTGAGCTAAGAATGAGTTGGCAATGGGCCAACTCATTTACTTCAATATGACTTTTCCACTTTGCCGCTTGCAGTATCATCACATAAAAAGAAAACAGCTTACCGAACAGTAAAGGGTGATGAAGACTAATATGAGCATACTAAACTGTGTTATACCCCATTTATGGGGTTATTATGTCAAATTACCAGGCACTGTTCATCTAATGCAGACAAAAGCAGCACAGTACCTCTAACCATCGTCTGAGAGGGCTGAGTCAAAACCTTAATATCCAAGGCATTAATGATGTTTTCCTCCAGGGAAGTGCAGTATCCATCCACAACATTAGTGACCGTGCCTTTCAGTGTTCCAAGATTATAGAATGCTTGAAGAGCAGTACCAACTTGAGTAGGGTTCTAGACATAGAAGCAAAAGGAAACAGGATGGAAAAAAAGTCAGTAAGTTTTAACTTCCAAAAAGTACCTTGTTCATAGGGAGAGATATTTTTATTGGCCATGATGGTTATATGTTACCACCAGTACCAGAGAAAGCATCGCCTGCACCTTGTTGGGTATAACAAGCAAGAAGGCACTATGGCACTTATGACCTGTATGCATGCTTTTCACAGGCATGTGGCGGGTCAATATGGCAAGAGAACACTGGATTAGAGAGGCCTTCAGAATCATAAAATTGTACAGCTAGCACTTTGAAATCACCCTAAGAGTTATCTATTTCAACTCCCCCCCCCATTTGATTTGCTCCAGACTACTTAGCATGTTCTAATTGTTCTGCTTCCTCTCATTTGTATAGCAAACTTACTAGAGTTATGCCCTGCTTGAAGACTTGTACATGACTAATCCATCTACTTCTTATCTAAATAACAAGTTAATGGAACTTCTTTAAATGTATATGCATATTATTCAATGTTATTAAATTATTACATGTGCATATTATCAAACTTCAGTATACAGAAAAAGTGTCTTTTTGAGATTTTCAGGACACCTCACCATATAATAAATAAAGGGTTGGATCCAGATTGTTTGCTGAACTTGAGTCCCATGGAAATTGGTATCACAAATTAGCTATGATTAATTATATCCCACTGATTCCAATGGGGAACTAAGTAGAGATATTTTGGCCTAGGTGGAGGAAGACAGAAAAAGATAAGATATTTAAAAGGGTTAACCCTTCATGTGCCCTCCTGAGTCAACTTTGGTTTTTTAATTTTTCTTTAAAAAAAAAGATGTAGCCTAATCTGTTTTTTAAAGTACAGAAATCACCATTAAGAGTATAACTGAACACTTTGGTTTAGTACCACAAGTGGAACCTATAGTCCATATGCCTATATATTTACCTAAGTTGTCAGTAGTGCCTGCACTAAATTCATGTCAGTAGTGGCTATGTGAAATTCATGCATCTCCTTCTTAACATTTCAGGAATCTTTTGACATAAGAGAATTGTTACTCCCAGAAACTGTGCAAATAAATTGTTTGGACTCTGAGAATGTAACTTGGATGGGAAACTTACTTTATAAGACACATTAAAACATTATTTCATGAATCTCATCTCACCAACATAGTAGGAGCCACAAGGTCAGAAAGGAACTGTACAAAGTAGACTGTTTTTACAGATTCATTGTTCTGAGATTGCTTTATCTTCTCAAAGTGACAATACGCTGACCTTGTCAGAGAAAGAGAGGTTACTTACCTGTAACTCTGGTTCTTCGAGTGATCCTCTGTGAATTCACACGAATGGGTATAGTCTGAGCATGCGCAGAGGCCTCAGAATATTCTGGAGCTAAAAAAGCCTTTAGGACCTCCCACCAAGCCCTCGTGGTCCGCCTACCCTAGCAGTTACCTCAGTTCCCAAATTCCGCTGCTGCTGTAAGAGAGACAGCCGTGACAGAAAGAGAGGAGGACGGGCAGGAAATGTGAATTCACAGAGGACCACTCGAAGAACCAAAGTTACAGGGAAGTAACCTCTCTTTCTTCTTCATGGCCTGTGCGAATGAACACTAATGGGTGATTAGCAAGCTTACCTCTGAATGGTGGAGGGACCTCAAGGCAAAACAGCAGAGAGGATTGCACGTCCAAACTGAGCATCTTCCTTAGTGCGGACATCAAACCAGTAGTGGGACACAAACATAGAAGGTTTGGACCAGGTAGCCGCCTTGCAAACATCTTGTAGAGAAACACCACGCAGGAATGCTGTGGATGTAGCCACCACTCTGGTAGAGTGAGTTTTAACAGAACCTGGAAGGGGCTTGTGAGCTAGTTCATAAGCCAAACGAATGGTCTGCACAATCCATCTCAATATGGCCTGAGGGGAGACCTGTTGTCCTCTGTGTAGCAGGTGAGGTGAAATGAACAGACGTATGGACTGTCGAAAGGATGCTGTGCATTGAACATAATACGATAAAGCCCTGCGAACATCCAGCAGGTGCAAAGACCTTTCAGCAGGAGAGGACGGTTGAGGAAAAAAGGTAGGCAGGATAATAGGCTGTCGAACATGAAAGCTAGAACAAACTTTGGGAAGTAATGCAATATCTGGGTTAAGTGTCACCTTGTCTGAGGAAAACTGCAAAAAGGGTGGATCAACTCGCAATGCAGCAAGTTCCGAGGCCATTCGGGCCAAAGTGATGGCTACCAAGAACAGTACCTTAAAAGTAAGTAAACGCTCCGAAACTGTGGCAAGTGGCTCAAACGGAGGTCTTGTGAGACGATTCAGAACCGTATGAAGGGACCACTGGGGAGTAGGCAATACCTGTGGGCGGGTGTAGGTGTGCCACTCCACATAGGAATTGTTTAATGGGTGTCGAAAAAGCAGGGCAGCTTCAGAATCAGGAGGCTGATGTGTGACTATCGCCAAAAGATACACCTTGAGGGTGGAATGTGCTAGGTTGTTATTGAGTAGGTAGGAGAGAAACTATAGGACGGCCTCCAGTGAAGTTGGAAAGGTAGGGAGATTTTTAGCAGTCGTAAATCTTTCAAAAGCGAGCCACTTATGTTTATACAAGGCTTTAGTGGATCGCTTCCAGCAATGGGCAAGAACGGTGTCTACTAAGGCAGAATTCTCCATGCAGTGAGATGCAGAGAAGGAACATCTGGATGGTATGTGTCTCCATTGTGCTGGGTGAGGAGATGTGGAAGGGAGGAGAGTCTCATCGAGTCTGCAGCTAGTGTTGTCAACATTGTGAACCACGGTTGGCGCGGCCAGCAAGGCACAACAAGAATGACATTTGCCTCGTGATGAATCTTTACAATGGTCTGTAGCAGCAGAGGAAAAGGTGGAAACATGTAGAAGAGATGTTTGGTCCATGGGACCATGAGGGCATCGCCCTGTGATTTGACTCCCACACCTACTGTGTTGAACTTTGTGGAGAAAGCATCCACTGTCAGATGCCTCCATCTCCTGCAGATGTGAAGAAATACAGCCTGATCCAGTGTCCACTTGCGCATGGTTGCAGTTGTCCTGCTGAGACAGTCCGCCCACACATTTTCGTGAGTGGAAATGTGGATCGCCGATGGGAAGATGTGGTTCTCCAGACACCACTCCCATAACTGGACCGCTAGGTATAGGAGAGGAGGCAAGTGAGTGTCGCCCTGTTTGTTCATGTAGAACGTGGCTGTTGTATTGTCCGTGACAATTTGAACTGCTGTGCCTCTGATGATGGGAAGAAATGCACGGCAGGCTTTGAAAATCGCCAGAAGCTCCAGATTGTTTATGTGGAGCTTCTGTTCCGTTGTTGACCAGGGAACCCGGGGGAAACTTGCAGTCGCATCTTGGGAGAGTCGATCAAGGGGTTGAACAGAGACAGAAAACATGCCTGAAGGGATCTCATATTGAGTCTGGCATGCGGTACAGTGGGGTCTTGACTTGAGAACTTAATCCGTATTGGAAGGCGGTTCTCAAGTCAAAAAGTCTGTAAGTCAAGTCTCCATTGACCTACAGTGCATTGAAAACCGATTAATCCCGTAACAGGCCATTTTTGTTCCATTTTGGTTTTTTCTGGTCTGTAAATCAAATCTCAGTCTGCAAGTCAAACCTAAATTTTGCGGCCAGAGAAGTCTGTAACTCAAAAAGTCTGTAAGTCAAGCCGTCTGTAAGTCAAGGGTCCACTGTATTACGGAAGTGGTGGAGGCCATGAGGCCTAGTAGTTTCTGAGTCCGACGAGCCGTGACAAAGCACAGGAGTATAAAGTGTTGGATTAGAGCGCCTATCTTGACCACACGGTCTTTTGGGAGAAAGGCTCTTGCCCTGTCTGTGTCGAGCACCGGCCCTATGTAGTTTGCCACTTGAGAGGGTGTCAACATGGACTTCTTGTAGTTGACTTGAAGTCCCAGACTCTCTAGTAGTGACAAAGCCATAATGGTGTGACGTTCTGCCTGGTGTTTCAACGGTGCTACCAACAGCCAATCGTCGATGTACGGGTACACCGCGATGCCTCTTGTGCAGAAGAATGCAGCCACCGTTGCCATACATTTTGTGAAGACCCAGGGGGCTGTGGAAAGTCCAAAAGGTAGGGTGGCAAACTCGAAATAGGTAGTGCCAAGAGAGAAACGCAAGTATTTGCGATGGTCTTGCTTGACAGAGATGTGAAAATATGCGTCGCTCAAATTGATAACTACGAACCAGTCTCCCTAATGAAGTAGGGGAAGAATGCATTCTAGTGTGACCATACGGAAGCGCCAGTAGGTGATAAAGAAATTTAGATCTCGGAGATCCAAAATAAGGTGGAAAGAATTGTCCTTTTTTGGAACCAAAAAGTATCTGGAAAAGAAACCAGGATTTGCTGGATCTGGGATGACGTGAGTTATGGCTGATTTTTTAAGAAGCACCTTTATTTCTGTTCTTAGAGCGGCATAAGGAGGAGTGATGAGGAAGTTCCAGAAACTATAGCGTAGCCTTGAGAGATTATGGTGAGTACCCAGTTGTTGGATGTAATATCGAGCCAGCTTCGAAGAAAGGACATCAAACGGGTAGAATAATGGGTGAGTGGGCTGAAGGTGGCAGACAGGTGGAAGTCAAAGACCCTGTTTGGATTTTCGGTCAGTCTTCCTAAAGTTTTGGCATGAACGGTGACGTTCTTGTTGCCGACCAGAATAGGAAGGCTAAGTTGAATAAAGTTTCTGCTTGCCCTGGTAGGATTTGTAAAGTGGATAGTACGGTTGGCATTTCCAGGGGTACTGCGATTTGTAAGAAGGCTGTGATGAATACGAGCAAAGCTGTTTTTTTGTTTTTTGTTTTTTGTTTGCTTTTTGCAGACCTTCAAGGATATTGTCCATCTTTGGATCAAATAAACCGGTACCGTCGAAAGGTACCGTATTTGCCGGTGTATAAGGTGACTGGGCATATAAGCCCACCCCCCAACATTCCCACTCAGAATGTAGAATTTGTTATATACTTGCTGTATAAG